CAAATGAGGGGGCGCGTCACACAGCGGCCAGCGCAGGCCCGGGCTGCCCTTCCCCCTGCTCCCCGCTCGGGCCGGCCCGGAAATGCGGCTGCGGCCGTAACCCAGCCCGCCGGCCCCGCGGGCCCGGGGCCCGCCGCGCGTCTGGCCTCCCGCCGTCCCCGAAGGGGCCCGGCTCTGCGGTGCCAGACCTGGCGCGAGGTTAGGAGGGGGATGGTGTCTGGACGCACGCTCCCGGGGAAATAAGAGTCATGATTATCGCGTTCAACCACCGCCCGTGCCCCACTCTTAATCCCCGCAGCAATCCTATGAGGCGGCTCTTGCTATTGTTCCCATTTTACGGGGGAGCAGAGGTCAAAGAGGTCCAGCAGCTCTCCCGAGGAGAGGTTATCCAGCTGGGAAGAGGCAAAGTCGGGATTCACTTTGGTCGGATTCCACGGTCTTTGCACTGGCAAAAGGCATCAGGGAAAGGCTCTTGGCACAGAAGAGCTAACGGTACCCATCCGCGTTAGGCCTCTGGGAGCCAAAGCCTCGGAACAAGCCGGTTCCTACTGTTGAGCATCACCTCTTCAAAGGCAGCCTCCTTTGATGCCCTTGCCTCTGCAGGCACGGTTAGTTTACACAGGCTTCTACCCTACTAGGCTCGTCTTATTGTCTGCAGTGGCCGCTGGATGCAGCCTGGCCTAGAGTGGTCAGCAAATGTTGGTAAAATGCGATTTGGTCAGTGAGTAAGGTACTAGGTCTGGAGAGGGCTGAGGAGTTTGGGGGGGCTTCTGGCTTAGATCTGGGGCAGCAGATGGGCACCAAGGACTCAGCCTCTGCAGCCCACGGGGCCAGATGAAGTCCCTTGCTGTGTGCCTGGCGCTCTTCATGGCCTCAGGAGAATGGAACCTGTGGCTCTGAAGGGGCAGGAGGCCTTGCTCCTTGCTGCAAGGGACATTCCTGAGGAGAGTGGAGGCCAGGATGGCATGGGGTGTGGCACTACTCTGGGTCTGGAATGTAGTGGAACCAGTGGGTCAGGCTGCTTAGGGCCTCAAACTCTGGCCCCAAGCTGGCCTCTTCTGCCCTCAGTTGCCATCTTTGCAGTAGGCTAGGATCTCCTCCCACCCGTGTCCCCCAGACACCAAGATGTGACTCAAAAGAAGATGTTTATTGGGGAAGAGACATAGAGGAGAGGGTGAGGGCCTCCGGGCTTTCAGAAGACCCGAGCAGCTCCTCCACGGTTGTCCAGGTAGCGCCTCAGGATTGTAGGGTAATCAGTTATGACGCCGGTGGCCCCCAGGCCGTAGGCTGCTTCAAAATCCGACTCTTCGTTGAGGCACCAAAAGATCACCTGAGTGGGGACGGAGGGGCTCATAGTTTCACACAATTTACCTGGAACTGCCCCTTGCATCTCGATGGTGGGAGCTCTCCTCCCCTGTGGAGACCTCCCAGCAGTGGGATGCTGGGGCGGATTGTTGGATCGCCAGGAATTTTGCGAGCTGGTTATTAAACACAGCCATTATGAAATACTAAATTATATAAACTTGTAATTCAGTAAATGATCTTAAAAACGACGGTAATAAATACTCAAAACTCTTCTGTTCCTCATTATTTTACTACCTGTTACTATTACCCACGCTCTGGAGGTTAGTCACATCTGTTGCATGTGTCAGGTGGAAATACTACCCAAACTCTGTGCTCCATGACTTCATGTTAGCTGCCTGAAATCGGACAAGGTGAGAGTACATACACCAGGGAAATCACCTGCTGCTCAGACCCAAGCCCCTTTTCCTCTCCTCTGCAAAGCTGGCTGAGGAGCATCTCCCAGCCTGCCCAGGTCTGCTGCTTCTCTGGGTCTTCGCTGTTGCCGGAGCCTCTCTTGTGGGCGTGGCGGTGGGGAGAGATGGTATTGGTACCCTGGGCAAGTCACCAGACCTCTCGGTTTCTTAATGTGACAAATGGGAATGATGGTCCAAAGCTGAGTGGTGGTGAAGACCCTCGGAGTCGGGGCGCTCATCTGAAGGAGGTGTGTCATCCGCGTGCCTCACTCACCCCCACGTCCAGGCCGTGGAGTCCCAGCCTGTCCGCTAACTCCTCCACCCATCCCCCTGCTTGCCCCCTACGCCCGACACCTGGCAGTGACAGCACATGGTGGCCAGAGTGACCCTTAACGAGGTCACCCAACTGGATCAGGCCTCTCCCCTGCTTCAGAGCCTCGAAAGCTTCCCTCCCTCTAGGCTGAAGTCCCGGCTCCTTGCTGACGCTCACAGGCTGCCTGCCTCAGCCTCCGCCGCCTTCTCCAGTGCCGCGCCCCCCCCAGCCACTTCCTCCACACTGCAGCCTGCTGGAACCCCGCTCAGTGCCTCCGCTCAGGGCCTGCCCTGGCCTCTGGCTCCTCCCGGCCCTCCCACACGCTGAGCCTCCTGCCGGAGATGCTCTCCCTTTCCTCTCCTCACTTCTTCCAGAAGGCCTCCTCTGACCCTGCAGACCACGGCTGTTTCCTTTCTGTCCACTGGGTGCCCCGTGATTGTCTGCCTCACTTCCTGCCTCTGCCCCTGCTTTGATAGTACGTTCCCTGGTCCCGCGGGGCCTGCAACGCAGTGTGTTCTCAACAAAGCTCTGCGAACTAAATGACCTGGTCAAAGTGGGTGTCCAGGGGAGGGGCGGGGAGTAGACTGGGCTGGTTTTTCCCTCCTCTGGTCCTTCCCCAGCCTCGTTAACCCTCTCATCAGGAAATAAGTAGGTTCAATACATCATCATCATAACGGCTAGGACTCATCAAACCGTTAGGAAGTACTAGTCAAATATACCATTACCCCCACTTCACAGATCGAGAGACTGAGACTCTCAGGTGATCTGCCAGGTCACCCGGTTAGCTGGTGGCAGAGCTGTGACCGGGACGCTGTGCTAGGCCCGCATTGCGAACCACCACTTGCTGAGGGGGTGGCGGTCAAGCCTCACCTGCACTCCTCGCTGTTCCAGGTGTTGGATCAGACTCTTCCTCATGATTAACCTGGTGGGGAGGGGGTTGGCAGAGGCCATGATGAGAGGGGAGGAAGCAGGGTAGTGGGAAGTCTCCATGGGCACACGCCACCCAGCAATCTTGCCCGCTCACCATTTGGAAACCACAGCTGCCAGCTTGTTCAGCCCAGAGCAGGAAAATGGGAAGTAGGTCCTGCAGAGAGGTGGTGGCATGGTCAGTCCTCTGCGTCTCACTCTGTCGCAGGGGTGGGGTGGTAGTGACTCCTGACCAGTGTCATCCTGGCCCCTCTAGAAGAATCTTTGCAGGTGCCCAGATGAACAAGTCCCCTGTCGTTCCGTGAGAGTCTACTCCCACATCCGTGCCTCCATACTCGGATAGTGGGCCCCCCCGCCGCCCCGCCGTTTTACAGAAGAGGAAACTCAGTTTGGGAGAGCCGAAGTGACCTGCCCAAGGTGTCACAGCACATCTGTGGTGGGGCCAGGGCCGAGACCAGGACCCAGCTTGACTGTCAAGCTGGACGCACAATCTGAAGGTCCCATGGTTGGGCCCGACCTGCCTCCTGCGGCCGGACAAGGCTCAACGGGTCTGCTACTTGCCCTGATTGGCCCACTTCAGGGATGACTTTGGAGGCCCTTTATAATGTCCCAGCGCAGGCTCTGGAGTCAGACCCAGGCAAACCTGGGCCTGCACTTCTAGCTGTGTGGCCTGGGGCAAATTCCAGGGCCTCTCTGAGCCTCAGATTCTCCATGGGTACTGTGGGGGTCACGATTCCTGTAACTTCTGGGTTGCTGCAAGGTAAAGCCCTAATCAACTAAAGGATGTGAAGACACTTTGCAAACCCTGTATAAAAAGTTATGTACAGGGGCGCCTGGGTGGCTCAGACGGTTAGGCGTCTGCCTTCGGCTAAGGTCATGATCTCAGGGTCCTGGGATCGAGCCCCGCATGGGGCTCCCTGCTCAGCGGGGAGTCTGCTTCTCCCTCTCCCTCTGCCTGCCACTCCCCCTGCTTGTACTCACTCTCTCTCTAATAAAAAAAAAAAAAGTTATGTACGCAAAGTTCTGTAGTCTAATGATATCTTTGTAGCAAGGGATTGTGGGGGCTGGCTGGGAGCCTCCCTCGGGACAACAGCGGGGAGAAGAAAGCGCTGGAGCTGCCACAGAGTTCTCAGAAAGCGAAGGGAGGGGCCGGGCTTAAGAGCTGGCGAAGTATCCAGATTCCTGATACTTTACCCAGCTGTTACTTTGTTAATCCTGGTCTCCCAGCAGGAGAAAGCTTGCTTTTCCTTTTGAGAATCAGAGAATGATACTATAATTGATTAATATTTGTCTCCCAGCCAGACTGTGAACTCACGGGGGGGCCTTACCCCACCCACATCTTACTTACTAGTATAACTGCACCTGGAACAGAGTAGTCACTCAATAAATGTTTGTTGGATGAATGGATGAATAAATGAATAAAATGAATACTTTGTCCTAAAACTCCATCCACATCAACACACATCTGCATAGAGTTTCAAGGGGTTTGTGGCCCCCCCCATGGTATTCATGAATGCTCGCTGAGAACCAGTGTCTTCAGAGGACCCTGGGGGTCATCCTTGAGGATGGCCAGGGAGCTGGGGACCCTGCATCATGGGGCTTGAGGTGGGGGGGTCTTTATCTGAGGACAGAAGCATCTGGGGGACCGGGGGAGGATGCAGAAGGGAAACAGGGACGCTGTGAGTACCTGTTGATGGTGGTGGGCAGGAAGCAGATGAAAAACCTCTCGGGGATGTGGACAAAGGGCAGCAACCCCACATAATAGAGCAGCACCAACCACAATCCTCGGCTTATCGTGAAGGCGAACGGCATCTCGGGGTTCTGGGAGGCAAGGGGAAGTGAGAAGGGGGTCAGTCTGCTTCTGGGAAAGCAGAGCGGAGCCTCAGGCTGCAGGGGGAATAGTGCTGGACATAGAGGAAGCGCTACCACCGCAGTATCAAAGCTGTGATCTTGGCCCAGTGTTTAGGCCTAACTGCACCACCCTCCCCGCCGCCAGTTCCCACCAGCACGCCTTTGCTCACACTTTCCCCGGTTCCCATCAGCACACCTTTGCTCACACTTTCCCCAGCACCTCTCCTCTCCAAATCCTCCCCTTTGAGACCCTGCTCGGGGCCAGTTCCTCCACGACCCCCCAGACCTGTCCAGCCTCGGCCCCTAGAGCCTCCAGCTCCTGGGAGGAGGGGCCGCTGGACCAGGGAAGGCACCCGGACTCACGGCAGCCCTGCACTTCTTCATGATTGAGCTCTTCTCTGAGGCCCAGATGGTGATTTCATTGCGGTCAAAGTGCCTCACCAGGCCTGCTACCTGGAGGAGGAGGAGGGGGAGGAGATGAAGGGGGGCGTCAGGCCTCTCTCCAGCCCCAGGCCCCCGGCCACCCCTGCCCGTAGTCCCACCTTGTTAATGAGCTCTTCGTTTACTGATTTGACCTCCACACTCACGGGCATCCGAGGGAACCTCCGGAACACGTCCTCCAGGCTCACCATGCGCCGGTCTGTCCCGTGTGCAAAGTGGCCTGGGTGGATTGTGCAAGAGGGATCAGAGGGGTATGGATGGGGTGGGGTGGGAACCCAGCGGGGGGAGGGGGGAACAGAGTCCCAGAGGAGAAGAGAGGGCAGGAGGCTGAGGCCATGACCCCACTCGGTGAGGTCACGCTCTCACCTGGTGAGAAGTAAACCTCCAGCTCCTCTTTGCAGAGGGGCAGCTCCTGGGGAGAAAGGGGGCACGTCACCAGGAAGCACGCGTGGAGGCACGGTGGCTCTCTGGGTACGGTGGGGGGGCCAGGGTGAGGCCCACCTCAAAGTCCAGGCTGCTCACATCCCTGTTCACGCCTGACAGGCGAGACAGGTTCTCGTCGTGGGACACCACCACCACGCCATCCCGGGTCAGCCGGCAGTCGAGCTCCAGGAAGTCGGATCGCTGGGCCACGGAGCTATGGGAGTGAAGGTCAGTGCGGGGTCGGGGCGGGGAGGGGGGGCCCGGGGAAAGGGGCAGGCCAGACCACAGGGCGGTGGGGAGGTTGAGGGGGGCGTGGGGCAGAATTCACGGTAGGATGTGCAGGCTCTGCGCTGCACACCTCCAGGAGGCCCCAGGCACTCGAACTAGGAAGGGAGTGGCACCCCCTGGTGTCACACAGTGCACGACTGGGACGACCTCAAGCGGGCAGCTTGGGGTGGCAGGTGCATGCACTCACTTCTCCATGGCCTCCATGGTGTGTTCCAGCCGCTCCCCGGATCCTGTGCGGGGCAGCTGGGTGGGTCCCAGGGGCCTGGCCTGCCCCTTCGCTCCTCACCCCCTGCCTCTTCTTCCCCCTTCCACATCCCCCCCTGCCACCCTGCTCTCCTCCCTCGGGCTCTGCCCTCGAACGGCCTGCCGCCTGGACCTCTCCTGCTGCCGTCCGCCCTGGTACCTTGCGCCCCGACTCCACCCTCCGTAGCCGCCATCACCATCCTCCCTTTCGGGCGGCCAGCTCACCTGCCCGGTGGGCCCCCAGGCGCGGCAGGAAGGCTGGCGCCCAGGGCGTGTGCAGCAGGCGAGGCCGGCGCAGGAAGAAGACGGAGAGCATGACATAGCTGCCCAGGGCAGGCAGTGCATAGTACAGCACGGGGCTCATGGCCACGCTGCCTCTCCGGGGCTCCCGCTGTGTGAGCCCCGACGTTCCTGAGGGACTGTGCGGCCTCTGCTGACAGCCTGGCCGGTGTAGGCTGGTTCTGCCACTGGTCGCCACCACACCCCTGGGACCTGCTGAGCCTGCTCCTGGCCTGGGGCCAGGCTGCAGGGCTCAGCTGGGGATGGGGGAGAGGCAAGAGGAGAGGCTTCCGGCAGCCCTGGCTCTCCCACCTCTGCACCCTTCCCAGACCCCAGCACCCCTGCTCCCCGTGGCCACGCTGCGGGAAACAAGCCTGCCACCACCCCCGGGTCGGCTACAACCTCCCCTTCCTCCCGCGGGTGCTTGTGGCTGGGGTATACAACACGCCACCCTGAGCCATTTCCAGAGAATCCGGGGGTGTGGAGGATGCCCCTGAGTCAGCCCCGAAACACCCCCAGCCAGTTCGACGGGAAGCCATTAGGGAGGGGAGAGGACAGTGACTAAGGGGAAAATTGACCCCACTGTGTCTAGGAGTCTGGCGCTCCTGACAATCCCATCTTCAGCCCTGGCCAGCTGGGGAGCCAGAGGTCACCAGGACTGGGTAAAGCCACACAGCTGGGAAGTGGCTGGGCAGGTGCGTCGGTCCTCAAAGCCACGGTTAGGGTGGGGGCGTCGGCGGACACAGACAGAACCAGGGCCATCATATACACATCTCTATATTTATATATTAGATACAGGCACAGGGTGGGTGGGGGCACCAGGCTCTCCTCGTGCCCCCCACTCCACTTCTGTTCACCCACATACAGAGGCAGCAGGGGTGTTAGACGTGGCAGCTTTGGGGGAGGGGGCTTAGGCCTGGGCCCTGCTCCTCAGGGGTACTAGCCCTTGGGCCTTAGGAAAATTCCTTTCAGGGAAAATGGGGTGGGGTTTTAATGGGTCAGGGCTTGCCCCGAGTCCCTACTCAGGATCCCGCATCCCCCCACTGCCCTTCAGTAGGTCCCGGGGCAGCCAGGGCCCTTCCATTCCAGAACTACCAGAGACTGGGATAGCTGGGGTAGACGAAGGCAAGCAGCAGAGGGCAATTTGCTTTGGGGCCACCCAAGCCCCTCGGGTCCTGGGAGGGGAGGCGGGGCGGAGGGAGCCTTGGCCTGCTGGATCAGGAGGCCAGAGCAAAGCCGGGGAGGGTGGCCAGGCGCGCCCTCTGCCCTGCCGGGGGCCGCCGGGGGGGTTCTGGGCGGGGCGCAGTGTCCATTTCCTAACAGTCCGGCAGGGGAGGGGCAGGCAGGAGGCAGGGCCTAAACAAAAGGGCAGGCGGAAAGGCACCATTAGCACCCACCAGAGGACCTGCCAGAGCCCTGACCTCCATCTCCCTCATCTCATCCTCACGGCTGCCGGGGATGGGCCTTGTCCTCCCTAACTGTACGTGCGGGGAGCCCCAGTGCCTATCTCAGGGTCCAGCTGGAGGGCGGAATGAGTTAATGCACATGAAGCCCTAAGAACAGTGCTTAGGGCTCTGTGTTTGCTCTTGTCCTCAGGGCTCTCCCCGGGAAACTGAGGCACAGAGAGCTGAGAGGTCTTGCACAATGTCACACGGCTCTTACTAAGTGTCAGGGCTGGAGCTGGAGCGCAGGTGTGTCTGCCTTCCTTCCGTCGGGCTGCAGCTGGCCGGGAGGACGGAAAAGAGACTCGAGGAAGGACAGCTGTGTGGGCGGGTGTGCGAACCACTGACCCGGGCACCAGGTGGGAGGGGACTTGGCATCTGGGTCAGGCTGGGGACTGCTGGCTCCTCCCAAAGCAATTACTGCCCCACCTGCCTCTCTGCCCACATCAGGGAGCCAAAACCTGGCTCTGGTCCTCAGATCGGGGAGAGGGGCCCTCTGGCCACGGGGACCGGAGGGTGCAGGGGTGCAGGGTGTTGCCAGGTGGGAGACCTTCGGGGCTGGGGGAGAGGAAGCGGATGTGAAGGACTGGTGGCCCACAGGTCCATGGCCTGGGCAGGCTCCAGCCCTTCTGTTGCCACCATGCAGCTGCCTCGTGGGCGTGAACAAGCCTGTGACTGTATGGAGGTGTGCTGGGCACACTGGTATCGGGGTGAATCTGTGTGTGGGCAGTGGGGAGCACTCACCAGGCCCCAAGGAACAGAGGTGTCTGTCCAGATTAGGGGGCCTCCAGTGCCCCAGGCTGGAAGCGGGCTGTCTCCTGGAAGATGAGCTCCTTCAGCCGTTCCTTGGGTAGATCATCCAGCTCCATGTCGAAGGTGAAAGGCTCCTCAGCCACTGGCTGGGGTGGCAAAGAAATCAGGCTCAGGCCGGGTACGAGGGACGCCTACCCGTCACCTACCCGCCAGCCCCGCTGCTGGTGGCTGGCCCACCTCATCTGTTGGGTCGTAGTACTGCTCCAAGTAGGGGTGAGCCAGTGCTTCTTCCACTGTGATCCGTTTGTTGGGGTTAAAGGTCAACATCCGGTCTAGCAGGTCAAGGGCTAGGTAAGGGCAGGAGTAAGGGGTCAAAGAGAAGGCTGGAGGAGCTCCCAGAAGCATCGCTTTGCTTCTCGTGCCCAGGGTCCTGTCTATTCAGGCAGCTGCTTGGCTCATGTACCCTCCTCTGCACCGAGTTTTTATCCGGTATTGGCCCCCATGTCTCTCTCACCTTTGGAGTCTGACTTGGGAAAAAGCTTGGCCCAGGCCACCTTGGTCTTGGAGGGCAGAGACTGCAGGTAGTTTCGGGCCTTCATATTGATGATACAATTCAAGTCCTCCTGGGATGGAGAGCCCAGGATACCTGTGGGTAAGGCAGGTGCCTTGGTGAGAGTGCTCCTCTCCCTTCTGGGAACAGAAGGAACCCAAAACAAGAGTCCCCACCAATGAGCTCCAAGCCCTGACAGTTATCTACCAGCCAATACTATGGTGATGACGGGCAAGGGATCTAGATGTGGGCAGCCACAGGTTCAAATCCTGATGTGAGCACTTCCCAAGTGTGGGGTGTAGCCTTGGCTTCTCCCATCTCTCCAGTGAAGACTGTGTCTATATCTCATTGAAATACCATGAGATGCTGCAGGGACTCCACACATGGTGGTACCCTCGCTATAAAGAAACCTCACCTCCCACTAGTCTCCCTCCCACTTAGCGGGCCAGGCCCCCTCACCCAGAATGTGGTTGAGCTGGTCCAGGTAGTGCTTGCCAGGGAAGATGGGCCGGTTGGAGAGCATCTCAGCCAGAATGCAGCCCACAGACCAGATGTCGATGGACTTGGTGTAGCCCTGGGGAGGAGGAGAAAGCAGTGGGCTCCTGGGCCAGCCTCAACAGGGCCCTGCCGTCTGGGCCAAACCACGACTCCAATCTAGACTGGATACCAGCAGGGAGGAAGAGGGCAGAGGCCTGGAGGACCTAATGCTCAGCCTCCTCCCAGAGCCTAAAAACCGGAGTCATGTGACAAGGCCTGGAGGCAGACGTCCTGGATCATGGGGGTCATGCCTGGCTCAGAGGTAGCTCCAGGGCTTTCTGGGACTTGGCCCCTTCCCTTCAGGGGTGGGTGGCCCCCCTACCTTAGAGTTAAGCATGATTTCTGGAGCCCGGTACCAGCGTGTGGCCACATATTCTGTCAGGAAGCCAGTGTGGTCATGCTCAGGATCGGCAATCCGGGCCAGGCCAAAATCGCAGATCTGGAAGCCAACCCAGGCCGCTAAGCTCGCTGCTCCAGGCCCAATGCCCGAGCAGTCATATCACCATGCCACTGCCCACACTGTTCCCTTTGCTTGTGAGGTTCTACTCAAGGGGGCTACTGGTCGCCTAGAAGCCCCAGACCCGTGGGAGGAGGGGATGGGCACCCAATCCTCTGACCTTAAGGTCGCAGGTGGTGTTGATGAGCAGGTTAGAGGGCTTTAAATCCCGGTGGAGCACGTTGGCTGAGTGGATATACTTGAGGCCCCGCAAGATCTGGTAGAGGAAGTAGCAAACATGGTCGTTGCTCAGCTGCTGGCTTTTCAGCAACTTGTAGAGGTCTGTCTCCATCAGGTCCTGCACGATGTAGCTGAGGATGGCACCGGAGACCCCCCGGGCGGGGGCGGCAGGGGGCACTTGGTTAAGAAGAACAGGCTCTGGTGGCTGGGCTTCCCGTCCCCTTCCAGCCAGTGGCCCTAAGACTCAGAACATCTGCCAACCCATCTCATGAGCTGCACAAGGCCCAGACTCAGCAGGCGGGCTCAGGGCCTCTGCTGCATCTCAGCAGGCGGCCCTGAACAGAAGTACTTCAATTCTGTGGCCTCAGTTTCCCTACTGGGAAAGCAGGGATAATAAACTGCAGGAGGCAAGAGAGCTTCCCAGTGAAGAGCAATAGCTCTGGGGTTTAGCCTGCTGGTGTCTGAACCTCCCCCCCCAACTCCACTGCTCATTGGCCTTATGACCTCAACCCGTCTGCACCTCCATTTCCTCCTGTGCAAAGTAGGGGAAAGAGTGGTTCTGTAGAGAGTAGTTACGAAGATTCAGTGAGATGACCCGCGTAAATCAGCCAGCCCAGCCCAGAGCTTGGCACGTTGTAAGTGCTCAGCAAACATGAATACTGTTGCTATTATAAATGCCTGAGCCACATGGCTGCTGAGAGGGTTAAATGAGATAGTGCGAACACCATCTGGTGTGCAATAAATGTTTGCTTAAAAATAAATGCCTGCCTTATGGGAATGGTTTGGGCAAGACAAATGAGGAGACGCTCCCAACAGCACGCTCCTCCTCAAAGAGTGCTTGGCCATACATCAGAAGATAGAGTAAATGTCCTTTTGTATTTTAAGAGAAAACAAAGATTAAACATACGTTAAGTAAATAAATAAATAAATAAATAAATGCCATTTGGTGGGTCTCTGAAAGAATAAGTCAGCACTGTCTTTTAGGAATCAGCCTCGAAAGGGCCTTCTGAAGACATCTGGACCAATCCTGCTGTTTTAGAGGTGAGGAGGCCCACCCAGCAAGACGCAGTGACTTGCTTAAGGTCACACGGCGAGCTGGGGGCGAGTGTGGAGATTTCCTGCCCACAGCTTGTGGTGGGGGCTGCAGACAGTGCAGCACAAATCCCCACGTCTGGGTGGAGAACTGGGACTGCCTGGGGGAGGGTGGGGTGGGGAGAGGTGATGGGTGCTATAAGCCACTACCCACAGGGCCTGGCAGGAAGTGGATGGCAAGCTCGGGAAGCAATGCGGGGTGCCGGGGTAGGGGGAAGAGGGCAACAAAAGCAAGGCTGTCCCTCCCTGGGCAAAGTGCAAGTCCACAGGTGACTGGGGTGAGGCTCTGAGCAGGAAGTGCCAGAGAAGGGACATCTGGGGGAGGGTAGGAGGAGGTAGCAAGAGCCGCGCCTGATTTTAGGCTTTCTGAGCCTCAGTCTCCTCATCTTTGAAATGGAGCTGGGGAGACCCATCTCCTACAGCAGCTGGGAGGGAGAATAAGAAAGGCCAAAGCGCCCCCGCCTCAGGCACCCTGCTGGGCGGGAAGCCTGCTTCTCCCTCTCCAACTCCCCCTGCTTGTGTTCCCTCTCTTGCTGTGTCTCTCTGTCAAATAAATAAATAAAATCTTAAAAAAAAAAAAAAAAAGGAAATGCCAAAGCACTTGACATGCACTGCACCT